TTTTTTGGTACCAGGGATCGAACTCAGGTCCTTGCGCTTGCACAGCAGGCGCCAAAACGACTGAGCTAAATCCCTGGCCCCAGAAACTCATATTTTATATGTAACTAATGTCTAAGCTTAGAATTCTTCCACCAACTGTAGTGCTTTACCTATTTAATGTGAGTACAATCTTCTATATAGCTGAAGCTTATAATTTAAGTGCTCAAATTTAAACCACGATAAATAATATTTAAAACATTTTGAATGAATTAGTTTTTATAAAATGATTACACATTTCCCTACCTTCTTTTGAAAGACTGTGCATAACATAATATAATCTTATTGATGACCTTACTCTGCACCTATTTTTGTGAGTACATGCACTGTTGTGCAGTGGCTGCCTTCAGACCTTTTGGCTAAATGGCTCTATTACATTACATGGATAGAGTTGTGTTTTTGCATTGTTATTTTTTTCTTCAAAGTTAGCTGTTGTATTTTACAACTTGTCCATTCCTATGATGTCTTTTCTTATCACTTCCAATCTTGACTTGCTGATTCTAATTGTTGTGAGTTGGGAAATTTGATAAATTTCCATGTTTAAAAAAAAAAAGCCCAGAGGCCTGAGTTAAGTGAGTAAAATTTAGTAATCTAAACCTCTTAATATTCTGGTTGCTGGATAATCAGAAACTGTGTCTGTTGGAAATAAGTGAAACTTCATTGAATTATTATTGGCAGTGTAATCCATTAAATAACTTTAAACGCCTTAACTCATTTTTCATGATGCTGTTTTCTTGAGTATGCCTTGCATATGCCTCATAAGACTGTTCAGACTAGTCCATAATAATACTTTTGACTACTGTTTTTTTTAATCGTGGTATATGCAGTAGAACTTTGGGTTGGGACCTTGAGTTTGATCTATTGCTTTGAAGCAAGTTCGGTGTCACTTCTCAGGATTATTGTCCTACTACTAGTAGGTGTTCAAAATGCAGATTTTCAGCTACTGGTCTTTGTAGAATTTTCATCATTCACAAAAGGTCATCTCTTACACCCCCCCCCCAACTGCGTTCAGAACAAATCACAGACATTTAGTAAGGGATATTTATTTTAACTTCACTGCCATTTGATAAATGTCAAAAGTTTAGTTGAGACACAGTATTCACGGGGGCATGTTTGAAGCTTCTTCACTCTTGACACTTACAGATTTGTAAAATATATTCCTGGGTCATTCCAAATCATAGAGCAGCTAAGTATGTAGACTGCATTGCTCTGCACTCTGCTGCCCTAGTTGCTTTTACCGGATTGTGCATTGATAACCCTATCAGTGTAAATTGAGTATCATCAATTGAAGCAATCACAGAGAGTCTTGAAGTTATTATCAAGAACATTGCTTATTATATCAAAAAGTAGTTTCTTTTTGTGAAGATTTCTATGTAATAGGTCTATCTCATTTTAGTGCCAACAATTTTAGTGCTGTATTTCTATGCAGTTGATTTATATATCTACTAGATACATGGATATGTAACCACAACTTTATCTTTTACTTGTACAGCTCTTAGAAATCTTAGTAACAAATCTGTGGCCAATCTCTAAGGGATATGTAGAACATCATGATGCATTTGACCTTATCCTTAGCTCTACTGTGTCCCTATACTTTTAATATAAATTTTATTGACT